CTACAGACATCTACAGGAGGAAGCCTCACCCGCTGATCTCAGGTGATGGATTAGTAGCTCTTCAAAATCATAGAAACACAGAATGGCCTAGGCTGGAAGGGATCTTAGAGATCATCTAGTCCAACCTCCCTGTCATGGGCAGGGACGCCTCTCAACTGGATCAGGCTACTCAAGGCTCCGTCCAACTTGGCCTTGAACACCTCCAAGGAGGGGGCAGCCACAACATCTCTGGGCAATTTATTCCAAAGTCTTGCCACCCTCGTACTGAAGAATTTCTTCCTAAGGTCCAATCTGAATCTATTCTCCTTCAACTTAAACCCATTTCCCCTTGTCCTGTCAGTGGACACTCTTGTAAAAAGTCCCTCCCCAGCCTTCCTGTAGGTTCCCTTCAGGTGTTGGAAGGCAGCTATTAGGTCCCCGCAAAGTCTTCTCTTTTCCAGACTGAACAGTCCCAGCTCCCGCAGCCTGTCCTCGTAGCAGAGGTGCTCCAGCCCCTGGATCATCCTTGTGTCCCTCCTCTGAACACGCTCCAACAGATCTGTGTCCCTCTTATGGTGGGAACACCAGAACTGGACGCAGTATTCGAGGTGGGGTCTCACAAGAGCAGAGTAAAGGGGGAGGGATCACCTCTCTTGACCTGCTGACCACACTCTTGATACATCCCAGGATGCGGTTGGCCTTCTGGACTGCGTGAGCATCCTGGTGGCTCATGTTGAGCTTCTCATCTATCAACACCCCCAAGTCCTTCTCTTCAGGGCTGCTCTCAACCCACTCTGTGCCCAGTTTGTATTGAGGGCTTCTGCCCAGAAACAGAAGCACAACTTTCTGTAGCAATCTTGCTCAAGCACCTGCAGTTCACACTGCATGAAACAATATCAGAAAAGGCTGATTTTCTGCCAGTCATCAACCAGTTTTGTAGTTCACCGCTAACCCATTAAACACCACAGATAAACTGCCAGTGTGAAAGGGGAGGGGGAACCTGGTCTCCCTGCAGATTGCTGTTTCTCTCCAAAACAGCTTAGGTGATATTTTGAGCAAGCAAAAAAAAGCTGGGTATTTAAGTAGGAAATTAAGGTGAAGGAAAAAAAAACCTTCACAAAGTGCAGGGAGGTTTTTCTCTAATTAAAACATTATATTTTACTTGGAAGTCAGGGATTTTGTGGCCAGCAGCTTTCTTTATTACCTTGTTTGGTGTTTTTTCGCTTCATCAGTGGCATATTTTGATCAGTGTGAGATTTTTTTAGTGGGACTGTTTCTCCTGAGTGTGTGTTTAGATCTTTTTCAGAACCTTACCAGAGTATTTGTTGGGGAACAAATTTGGCCACAGAATTTGAATGGTGACGATGTTATCTGTATGCAGGTGTAACTCTTTCGTTATATTCTGTGTACTGGGTGCTCTTTAAAGTAATATTTCAATTCAATAGAATTTAGAATAAATGTTATTTATTTATCTTATGACTCTTTGTGATGACATTTTATGTAACACCTTCTCTATATTAATCTGTGTCATTACTCTGTTAGGAGGGTAAAGAATTCACTTGCATGTGCACATTGTTTTCCAGTGATATTTTCTAAATAGTTTGGCATCACTGAGGAGTGAGTGCTTTCCTAGAGCTTTGACCTACCCAGCTTTTCACTCCTGTTTTGGGTGACTTTGCAGGTGTTAAAGACGATTACGCTGAAGCAGGAGGGTCTGACTACCAAAGATACCATTCTCAGAGCTGTTTTAGTTACACTTCATCATCATAAGCATATGGTTTAACTTCCAAGTGTTTAACATTTCCATTTCCTCAGGAAATCATTCTTTCTATTTTTCAAACTTTTGAAACTCGATGGATATTTTTACTGGCAGGCGAAGCAAGAGCGACAGGACGATCAACCTCAGCCCAAGGGAGCCCTGGCTGCGGTACCCGCCTGGCTCTCCATCCCCTCCCCTCGTGCAGCACGGCTCGGGGGGCTTTGGCCAGGTCTCTGGGGTGCAGCATGCTGTTAAAACAGTCTGCCTTCCTTACTATAATGAAACTATCCACTCCCTTTTTCTGCTTTAGCTGGAAGAGGTGTTTATCTTTCTTAGCCCACTCCAGGGCTCACGCATCCCAAGGATTAGTTGAGAGCAGACTCCTTTAGCTGATTTAGTGAGGCCAATGGCGAGATCAGGGCCTAAAAAAATATTTTGTGTCACCTACAAGGAATGAAAGCGATTGCATCATGTGTTTATTGTCTCTATTGGTATATCCAGCACTTGAACATGACTGAGGAGTGAATGGCTCCAGGGAGCTGCTCTGGCTCTTGCATTTTCAGAGATTATTTCTGGTATTTCCTTTTTCCTCATTACAAGCGGGTCACCCTTCTCACGTGTGGGCCAAGTCATGTACCGTAGGAGGAAGTCTGTGCTTGTGTCTTCTATATGTCCCCATGTGTTGCCTGATCTAGTCGAGAGGTGGCGTCCCTGGTGGCAGGGAGCCTGGATTAAAGTGATCTCTAAGGTCCCTTCCAGCTTAGGCCATTCTATGATTCTATGATTCTGTGTCACAGCGTTTAGCTGCTTGTTTTCTTTTCCTGCTATGCTATGAAGTATAACTATTGGATGTGTGATCTGAACACTTATTTAGCAGCTATCACTAGACGTTTTGTTAGAAGAGCATCCTCTGCTACAGTGAGTGTCACCATGTCATACCAACTTTGATAAACTAACTGCATTTTGTATAACAAGCGTTGTCACCGTGTATCAAGCAGCGCTGTACAAGAGAAAATATAGGACAAACTAGATGATTAATGTATTTGTTCCTTTGTGCTTTATTCTGTTAAAAAATCAGACAGTCGTATTTATTGCACTGCTTGTCTAACACGAGGAAGCTTGCTGTGAGGTTGGGCTTCTGGAGGGACTGAGTCCTGCCATTGGGCAGGCTGTGTGCTACCGACATTCAAGTTGCATATTTTATTCAGATCCTCAGAAGAGTTAGTTAGTCAAGGCAGCAGAAAACAGCATCAAACTGATGTAGTTCAAACTCCAGACCTCCCAGGAGAGCTCACCTAAGCTGCTCAGCCTCTGGCTTTGTGCCGGCCTCTGGGACATTGTGAGTTGCTGTGTCGGTCCGATCAAGCTCTCTCCAAACTCCTTTGCTTGCCTCAGTTCTGTGCGCGTCTGTGCATCCCTTTGGCATTTACCTTCTCACTAAAAAAACTACTTGGTCAAGCAGCACAAGCTTGTACCCTTGCAATGACAGCCCCAAGGCTGCTCAGCATCCAAGCAAGCGCACTGGCTTTCTCACCGTACGTGTCTGTGCCACGCTGGGGGCTCCAGCTCACAAACCAGTGCCGTGGGCTTGCTGCTGATGGTCACATAGACTGGAGGTCAAGTTAGGAGTTACACAGTGATTTTGGTCCAGTTTTATTTGCTGGAGGATATCAAAACATTGCAGTCTTCTGGATAGATTGAGTGATATCCTGATCCAATATGGATTGGCAATGATAGCCACAAAATGGTGCTGTTATGCTGTTCCAGATTGCTTCAGAAGATGGGACCAGAGTGGGATCATAGTGAATTAAAAGCACAGTCTAGCTAGCCCCAAAATGTCTCCAGTGACCACCCTCCAAAGGCCAGTTCCTGCACACAGGCGCAGCATTGGGCAGGCACCCTCCTTCCTCTTACAAGAGGCAGCCTTGGGTGCTCCTGCCCGCCCGCCACCCAGCTATAGGTCAGCAAGTCCAACATCTTGTACAGCATATTTGTTCAGGAGAGACCTCCTGGTTTTGCAGAACATGGTCCCCACAGCATGACCTGTGGTGAGCGAGCCCTTGTGCTGGTTGCCTCCACGGCAAGGGCGAGCTTCATCGTAGCCACGTGCCTGCAGATGTTCTCCTTGGAGTCGATGGAGCTGAAAGGTGCAGGGTCCCAAAGCAAAGGGGGAATAAAAGACATTGCAGGAGCAGCTCCAGTCCTGAGAGAAAAGTAAGCAAGGCACTGACAACTTGTGTGGGTTTCCTATGTCTGTTTGCAGTGCTGTGTTATGTGTTTAGAAGCTGGTTGTTTCCATAATAACAGCAAGTGCCATATGGCAGCAAGGAGGGTGGTGAGAGGAACGCTCAAGGAAACACAGTATGTTGTTTGACATGTGTGTGCTTCTAGAGGAATAACGTGTCTCGAGCAAGTACGGCTGCTCCAAACAGGCTGAGGGAGTTGCTGCTGTCACCAGAAAAATACCCAAAGCCCTCAGCATTTGTACTCGTGCAATGTCAGTTAATGATGCCTGCCCTTCTCCCATGTTTTCCTGCAGATAGTCCCTGGGATGGGTAAAGGACCTTCTTGTTTACTGGGAGTGATGGTTCTGGATGCACCAGCACAGGGGAATGACATTTAAACATGGCGTTTAGGGGGAAATAGAGTTCTGTAAAGGAGTGCTGTGTGAAACTGAAACCAGCTAGATGCCATCTGCTCCACCCATTAATTAATGCTCAGTGAGAAAATAGCAGAAATTCTGAAACCTTTGAAAATACATAGTTTGCAATAATTGTTTAGTGGAGAGTGCACTGAGCATTTCCAGAGATTAAGGGCACTTTAATGCCTATCTAGGAAGCATTCAGGAAGGTCTCCAAGAATTCCAGTGTTGTTTTACCCTTTAATGTATGACTCACATTTCAAGGACTTGTAATTTGCTCCCCACATTCCCACAACCACCACCAGCTGGAGCGGTACCTTTGCAGAGTGCATATATTTCCACCACAGAAAAGATGTGAAATTATTTTTTCATAATAGCTGAATGGGTTTTGCGGGCCTTTTACCAACATCAGCTCTATAAAATCAAGCCTCTTTTGTTTGAGTCTTAAAGCCATTAATTGTATTTGTATTTGGATACCTGAAACATGGTGTCGGGGAGAAGGCAGTGGTTCTGATTTGGGGTCATAGTTCTGCAATGATTTGCAATGCTTTAATCTCCTAACCAAACCAAAAGGCAATGCTCTTCTCATTTTTGTGCTTCTCTTTTCTTTATTGCCTCTAGAGAGAGATTACTGCAGCATATGTGAAAAGCAGCCGATCGGAAGGCTTCTCTTTCGGCAGTTCTGTGAAACTCGACCCGAGCTTGAGTGCTGCATTAAGTTTCTTGACTCAGTGGTAAGTCAATTCTTGTGATATTTTGGGGTGCTTCGCAGTGCTCTCCTGACAGAGGAGACTCCTCTGGCCCCAAGAAATTGCTGTTTCATGGGACGCAAGTCTGTGTCTAAGGCACCTGAGCAAGGAGCTGAGCCTGTCAGCATCGCGGCATCCTTGATGGTAGAGGGGCAGCACTGCCCGTGGTGTTGGTACGAGCCTCAGGGAGAGAAGGATGACATTGTGCTGAGCTGCTGTGAGTAACGGCTTTTGACGTGAGTGAAGCCTGCAGTGCTGGGAGGCACTGGGAGGAGAAGGGAAGATGATGAATGGATGGACAAGAGAGGATGAGGAGTATGATAATACTGAAGTCTGTCTCTTACCAAGCCTTTTCATCGGTAGACTACAGGGTGACATACAAAGGACACCCTGACTGTTATCCTGGTTCTTCAAATAGGAAAGCAGAGGCAGGAGGTATAGAAGTGACTTGGTTGAGGTCAACAAGAAACAAATCTGCTCAATTTTCTACCTCCATGAGCTTAACCCAGACACTGAGCAACGCCCCCCAGCCTCTGGGGGGACCTGATGCTCTTTCCCAGTCCTGCAGCACCAGGCCATGTGTTGTGCCAGCAGGAGAAGCTGTGCACAGTGGAAAAGAGTCTCAGTGGTTTTTTTTTGCTGGGAGCCTGCAGAAGGGTTTGGTGTTGATGAGCTAAAAGGCTAAATGGTACCAGGGAGGAAGATGAACTTGTCACTACTGAGTGTGAGTGTCTGGGGGGCCGTCACCCTCTGGCTAAAACTGATAGTCAGCTGCAAAACAGTGCATACCAACAGGAATAATTTTTTTGTTTATTTGTTTACACCATGGTGAAGCTATTCTGAATAATAGGGAGACATGAGCATTGCACCAAACTTGCAAGAGTCTGGGAGAGGATACATGGTCACTTAAGGATTATGTTAATATTGTGGTATCTACTGCAAACCTACAGCATCACAGAGAGTGTTGGATGAAGTGCTGTTCAAATCAGTTTTAGCTGATCACAACTTCTACCTGCTATTTCTAGGACTGGTAATGATTTTCCACAGTGAAAGGTTTAGCCATCAAAGTATATGAAACTGCTACATCTGACAAACACTCTGTGCAGCTGTGCTCAATGCCAGCAGGCAAGAGAACGTTTTGGATACCCTGGATGTTTGTCCTTTGACAAACTGGCATCATCTAGTGAGGTGTCTGCCACCAATAAAACCTGTTTTGGAGGAGGCATCCCCACAGAAATATTACATGAGGTGTGATGCCCACAGTGTTAGGAAGATGGGCAATGGCCATCCCTCTAGGAGGCTGCAGAAATCCTTTGGGAGACAGCCACAGAGGACTGCTTCCACGTGGTTCTGATTTCAGACAAAAAAGGCAGAGACAACCTCGATTTGGAGAGGATTAACGAGGCTCCCTTCTTTTCTCACACCTCCTCACAGCAGCAGACATCACATTGTGGTTGCAGGAGCACCCCGGGGGTGCAGAGAACAAGCCCACATTGTGCAAGCCCAGCAGCACGATCGCAGGGTGTACTGGTCAAGCTGACAGAAATAAACATCTGGGCAAAAAAGAAACATTATTGTCACCTCATTGTCACCAGCCCCAGAGCACCGTGTGATAACCTTCACCTCAGCGCTGCCCAGAGCCTCCTGGCCTCTCCCAGCTCCGACTGCGGGAATTGAGGGCACTGTGTCATTTCATTCTCCAGAAGCCCTGTGGAGCAGTGCCAAGTGCTGAAGCTCCGTGTCATAGAATAGAATCATAGAACAGTTCAGGTTGGAAAAGACCCTTGGGGTCATCGAGTCCAACCATTAACCCTACACTACAAGTTCACCCCTAAACCATATCCCCCAACACCACATCTAAACGACACTTGAACACATCCAGGGATGGCGACTCAACCCCCTCCCTAGGCAGTCTGTTCCAGGGTCTGACCACTATTTCCGTGAAGAATTTCTTCCTAATGTCCAGCCTAAACTTGCCCTGTTGCAACTTGCAACCATTCCCCCTGGTTCTGTCCCTAATTCCCTGTGAGAAGAGACCAGCACCAACCTCTCTACAATGTCCTTTCAAGTAACTGTAGAGCATGATGAGATCCCCCCTCAGCCTCCTCTTTGTCAAACTGAGCAGACCCAACTCCCTCAATCGCTCCTCATAAGGTCTGTTCTCCAGGCCCTTCACCAGCTTTGTTGCCCTCCTCTGCACTCGCTCCAACACCTTGATACCTCTCTTATACTGAGGTGACCAAAACTGAACACAATACTCAAGGTGCGGCCTCACCAGTGCTGAGCACTCCCTTCTTCTGCTGGTCACAGGTGCTGTCCTCCCAGCATCCGTGCAGCACAGGCGACACTGGTCCCGCGAAAGGTTGTGGTGAGACTGGCTTTGTTGTAAAGCTCCCTCTGCGAACAATCCTGGGGGGATAATCCCAAATTCTTTTGCAAGGATATGCCTCGCGCCCAGCCCCGGATTGCTTTTGCAGACTGGAGCTGTGTTTCTTTACTGGGCCAGCAATGTGTTGTTCCCAGTTGAGTTCAGACTGGCAGTACGAGGTTTTCATGAGCAAAATGCCTGGCTGTGAGGCGGTCTGAATATTTACTCTTTCTTCTTTTTAAGGTTAATTAACAGCAATCTCCTTTGTTTATTGATTTCAAATGCAAGCTCGCTCCCAGCCTGTGAAAATCCCTGTACTAGGCAATATTAAGGTTGAGCAATGCAGCCCGTAGGCATTAAATTGGATGATTGCTACTGAAATTCGCCCAGCAGGGTCACGCTGCATTGAGTAGTGGGATTCAAGCCAAGCCCTATGTTAGGCAAAAAAGTCCTATAATGAAACTAGAATTTTGACTTTACAGCCCTATTCTGAGACCACCAGGAATGTGAAATTTTTTGGAGACCACCTGCTGTAACCAGCCCGGAGCAGAAAAAGCCAAGAGCCCCCATTTTTCTAATATGACATGCAAAACTTACCCTTTGAGTAATATCAAATAAACCCCCAAAAAGTAGTAAAGGAAAATATTTAGCTGTTCATAAGAGGCTCACAGAGCTTTTTGTGCATCAAGAGGTAAGACCACCTCTCTTTAACAGAGCACACCTAAGTCACTTTAGCAGGTCACACAGTAAGTCATTGGGAGAAGCCAGTAATTTTTGCCTTCCAGTTTTTAAATACAGTTTTTTAACCAGGGCACTCAACTGCCTACAAAGAAAGCAGCGACTGGGGCTCCTGGGAGGAGATCAGAATGTGAGTCAGTCACTCAGCAATCTACCAACATCCTCCATTCCCATACCTGTGTGAGACTAAGTTTTGCAAGCTCTCTCTCACACCTTTGCTTCCAAAGACTGGTAGAATCAACCAGACCCTGCAGACCAGAATACTTAAAGAGGGGAGGAAAAAAGTCGCATTTATTTCAGCTGTTGGGTGAAATAACTAACCTAGTCTGATGCAGTATTCTGCAAATCTACCTATAGCAGCATCTAGGTTTTTTTGTCTGTGCGGTTAAACACTTGTTAGGCTGATTTCTGAAGAAAAAAAGATTTATATCTGTGTAGGTGTGTATCAGTCAGTTCCCTCTGAAACCTTTGAATACCTTGGCCATTTCCAACTGAGATTAAAGTACGCAGAGATATATTGTTTCTAGATGTTTTCCAAGAACAGTTTGGATAGTTAGCAACAATCTATAAGCGGTAAAACGGACTACAAGGAGGTGTGGTTTGTAAGCAGTAGGCCCCAACAGTAAAGATAAAAGTGATAAAAACAAAGAGAGGCAGAGCTTTGCAGTGCAGCACTGATGGAGCTGTGGGTGTTTGGTTCCTCCCACAGCTGTGGGACCAGTAAGTGGCTGGGAAACAGGACAACAGCATCCCCCACTCCCCGCCAGTAAGGTTGTAAGGACAAAGAGCCATCTCTTATTACGGATATTGTGCAGACATTTTCAGGACAGATGTCCTGACTCGACTAGATAAAGTATCTATTAAGAAGTACCGCTGGCTGCAACTTGTGCGTCTGAATGCATCGTGTGCTTGTCTGCCTGCGTGTAAACACACAGCTCTCCCACGAATAGTTCACCAAACCCTTGTGTAACTGTTCAGATTGAGGAACTATGCAAACATAAACTGTTATCATTGAAGAGAGATGGTTTATGATTAGATCAGTTCCCCCATAAGCCCCTTACAAAGAATTCACGCACAGCCCTAACGCACGCTTTGCTGCGCTTATCGATATTTTACCGACATCATACAACTTTGGAGCTGTTGAAAGACAGCCGTTAAAATAAAGCCTTAGAGGATACATTTCCTGTGCTGAAAGGCAGATCAGTGAGCAGGGAACCTGCTAGCAAGATGTGTTTCCTTCCCCACGGCCCGTGCCTCCAGCACAAGAAGGCAGCAGTTCAGCGGGAACCTCTCGCCCTTGTCCCCCTCTCAACAGCATGTTCCCAGGGTGCTGGCTCCTGACATTGCCCTCTCCTCTCCTGCGATTTTTGTGCACTGTTATAATGAAGGCTTTAGCTTCTGGACTCCCTTTCCTACTCCATCTAATCACATTCATCATTTTGTAATTATTAATTTATTTAGTTTTTTCCAGGAGAGGGCTTTTAACATGTTAATGTGGACCAGATTTAGATTGGCTGGAGGAGAATGTGATTAATTTTGGTCAAGGAGAAAATAACCTGCCATTATTTTCTCTCTAACCTGTATGATGTTATTTCTCTGCATTGCAATTGCACAGAAGTACATCCTTTGAAGGAAAATAGCCCCATGGCCACTCCAGGTTGTTTCTGTTTGTGCTGTTGGGCTCGGGGGCCAGCGGTGAGAGGCACAATCTCCTCAGGTGGACTTTTCAGCTGAATGCTTCACTAGACATTACACTTATCTGGGGTAAAAGGATGAGCGAGCATCCATTTAATGCCATTTGCAAAAACCCTGCCTTGCTCTTAGGGAGATTTCTTTTGGTTAAGTCCTTTACATGGTATATAAACCATCTGTGTATGTGTGTCTCAAAGCTGTTCAAGGCTTTTTCCATCAGAAATGCCAGTTTGTTGATAACAACAAACTCATTAACTCAAAATGTGTTTTTAAAACAGTCAAAAGGACTCTTTGTGCCCTGTGTTTAAATATGAAAAATATGGTTTCAAGTTCACTTTTCATTTGGAAATGTGAGTTATTATGAATCCCAGCTGTTTGGGGCTTGCCTTCCAATTTTCAGTCACAGATTTTAAATCTCCAGTGGAGGCAAGTGCAAGGGCAGTAGTTGGAACACTGAGCAATAACGGGACAGAGCCTGGAGTCCGAGGAAGGTGTGAGCAGGAGCTGGAGCAGAGGGAGGTGCTGGGGGTAACAGAGGAGGGAGCTGAGAAAGCAGAGCTGTAAAATTTGGACCAAAATGGCAGTAGCCTCCTGCAGACACTTAGATACTCCACTGCTCCTGTCTTCTACGGAGCCGATGGGAGTGCCAGTTCCCACCTCCATCTCTTGATGGGTAAAAGAGACCGACTCTTGTGGCCATGCCACATTCCTGCAAGCAACCAGCAGCTACCTGCTGTGAGAGAGAGTCCTTCCACATCTGCAAAGAAATCCCTTTGGCTCCATTTTTTTTTAGTTTTCATGTATTTTTAAGCCGTGCAGTTTCAGGAGCTCAAATAATACTAAGATGAAAGTCAAGCACTAGATTAAACAATGTGTTGGCATGAGTGCCTGCTGGGTCCCTGTACCTTTGCCCTGATAATGCTCTTCATTGACGATAGACACGCTCCAGCCTCTGAACCTCTTGTTCGACCATCCCTGAGCCCACAGCCCTGTCCCACAGCCAGCCACAAGCTGGACATTGCTTCCTTTCCCCTTGGAAGTATGGTTTCCCACCCAATCTGGCTTAGCCCATCCCAAGGGTAGCTGCTCCGAAGGGAAAGATGCTTCACACCGCTATGCCCCCATTCAGCCAGGGTTTCTTCCAGGGAAGCAGGAGCCACCAAAGAAACTACAACTGCTGAAAGAGCAGCCAAAAGAAAAGTTAGCAACAGACGTCGGCCAGCCCACATCCTCTCGCCATTTGGACTGAAGGATCCGCGCCTGCCCGCAGAAAGAGCCTTCCCTGCAGCTTGTCCCATGCAGTCAGGGTGATCGTAAATCCTTCCCATATTTATGAGCTATGAATAGGGCCCTGTCTGACCTAACTAGGGCATGGAGAAGCTATTAGACTTCAGAGCAGGAACCTTGAAACACATGCCTGGATTCATCAAAGGAATAATGGAAAATATTTTGTTCCACGTGGATTTTAAGTAATTATGTTATTTCTACCAATTAGACGTTTGCAAACTGTAGCCACGCTTCTGAGTATTGTGGAAGGAGGGGATGTATTTTGTGATTTAAGCACAAGACTGGAAGTTGAGGACCTTGGTATGCTTCCCAGGCATGTGGCAGAGTGAGCACGGGGAAGTCACCCTGTCTGTCCACATGGGCAATTCTTTCTGTAATAGCGGTCTGTGGCTGAAAATGTACCAGTGTCTGTTGCCGAATAGCTCAAAAGTGGCACTGAAGGGAGAAATAATAATGAACTTAGAAACAAAATGAAATGGGCTTCTAGTACTTGAGCTGCAGTTCACCGTTGGAGCTTATGGTTCCTTCTCACGTCCACACTTGTCTGTCACTTCCTACCTTCACCACCACAGCATCACATTTTCTGAGGATGTCAAATGCAAGTAGAATTAACCTTTCCTTTTATTCCTTCCCGACTATCTTGAGATAGAATTAGATACTCTGTGTATGTGTGCATGCATTTAGCTCTGCATGTGGGAACCTGTCAGGAATTGCATTTCAAAAGCTTGATCCAATTCCTGCCGGACATCTGTCATCTTCTGGTCTGACCTTACGTGCTTCCTGTTGTACAGTTCCGATGGGATGTAAATGTGATAGAGTATCTCTGGCAAAACGGACACCTTTTTTTTTTTGACATTTCCTTGCTGCATTTCAAATTGCAGATGTTGACTTAGAATCGGGTTTTATTTACTAGGGAGCCAATATATTACCTGGATCCAGAATCTAAAAGCAAATGAAGGAGAGAGAAATGGTCGTTACTAGATCAATTGTAAATAGTGTTGGATGGAAGAGTCGGAATATCTTCATGCCAAGGCAATGCCAAGGAATTCTCCTTTCTTTGCAGTCTCCTGCACAGGCAGTTACACTTAAGTACAATTTTTTTTTTTAATTAAACCAGATTATTTCTGTTTTCTTTCATATGAAAACCACCTAGTTTGTCTGTGAACCTAACCATAAACTGTAAGGTCCAAATAAGATGCAACTTTCATCTTTAAAAAAATTGTTCCTTCTGTTACTCTTGCTGTTGCTTTATCCCCTAGTAAGGAATCACAGAGAAAAATTCTGTTAAGATGCTGTAAACATTTGAGAGAGTCTGTACTTTAAAAGCTGAAATGACCCATACTCAGATACCATCTAGAAGGACAGGAAATTGAATGAAAGATTTTTTTAAACCCTTGTATTAAGTTTTATGAGAATGTAATCAGTTCATCCCCAAAATGGTCACTAACAGAGAAGCAGTGCACTTGTGGATTTTAGCTTTCAGCGTATTTTTCATCAGCGATACAGATTTCCTCATTATTTGTGGTCATTGTCCATTCCCAAACCAAATCAGATTGTAATTCTAGATTGTTCAAGCAACCTGCTATGTATGTGTATAAATATGTAGCTTCAGACTTAAGCTGCAACAGCCAAATCAGCACTGGCCAGATAGATGGGTAATAGCATTATTACTACATTGTGGTTTTCATGTCATTCCTAGGTCTGCTTAGCGAGGGTATCCATTACAGCCTGCCTTGGGATTTATTGCATCAAGCTCAGAGCAGTACATACATCTTCCAGTGAGCAATAGCTCTGAAATTTGTTCTTCCAAGTGTTTGCCAGTTCAGTCTAATTTACCTTCTTTTTTATTTTTTTAACTTCCTTCACATATATCATCACAGACAGCTTGTATTGGACCAGGTTACTTAATTGTCTTGGCAGGATTTCCTGGGATCCTTTTTAAATACAAATAGTCGTGAAGGCTATTAGACTGTCTTTTTTTTTTTTTTTTCTTTCTGGAAAACAGTTTGATCCTAAGGCTAAAGCTTCGTATCCTGGGCAATGCCAAGTGGGAATGTCTCTAAGAACTTGTCATTGTCATTTATCCACTGGGGTCCCAATGCAGTGCATGTTTCCTTCAAATGCCTGCCGTGGAACCAAAACTCTTAACTAAAGTGATTAATGTCTTCATGGTGCACAAGTATTGCTTCTTTTGTTTCTTATGTAAACATTTTCCTGAAGCTCATTAAAAGTCAGTAATGCTCCAATACGTTGAATAGTCAGAATTTTACAAGGTAGGTACACTTTGTGTGGGAGAAATGTGGTGCTTTCTTTTTAATGGGAAGTCAAAGAGGATGTTGTCTGTAGTGTCTGTTCCTCTGAACGGTCTCTCTTGTTTTGTCTTGGTTCTAAGAAATCAGCTCTTATAGGTCTGCATTCTGGCAGGACTGAGTCAAGGATCACTAAAAGTGATGGACAAGTCTTGCAGAAGTCTTGTTAGACTATGGGGAAGACAAAAGTAAATAGGAAGGACCAAAAAAAGGTGCCATCTCTTGTCACTGAACGCTTTCTGAAAGCTGTTTGGCAAGGCTGTAAAATATAAATGACTTAAATTGTATTGGTATTAATTGAGAGACACCATCTCAGAAAATACACCACTAGGGCTTGGTCAAAATATAGTGGAAGGTTTTTAACAGGTTTGTGTGTATGGGTTTTACTTCCGTCAGAAACAGGTATTTATCCTTCAGATTCTTCAGACAGAGTGTTCTGTTAAGGCCACATCCAAAATGAAGTTATAATGGTGAAATATGAGTTCAAATATTGACTTTTTTTATATATATATATCTGTTCCAGGCAGAATATGAAATTGCTCCAGATGAAAAGCTGGGAGAGAAAGGAAAGGAAATCATGATGAAATACCTCACCCCGGAGGTAAGGAGCAGCCAAAGTGGCATTACTGAAGGAACGCTGCAAGGCACACATTTGCTAAACAAGGTTGTTACAGGCTTTGTAAGCCAGACTCCTAAAATTTATGGTGGCAATCTCCAGTGAATAAACCAGCGAGTCTTACACAAACAGTCAGAGAGAGAAAAAAAAATATAATCCAATCCAGAAATTGACTTCTAAGGATGAATTTGAGCTTATGAGGGGCTTAATTCATCTGTGGATGAGCAGGGGGCTGCTGTGGTCTTGGTGTGCAAAGCTCTACATTAAAATCATAGAATCAATCATAGAATCATAGAATCATAGAGTCATAGAATGTTAGGGGTTAGAAGAAACCTCTAGAGATCATCTAGTCCAACCTCTCTGCCCAAATTGGATCCTCTAGGGCAGCCACACAGGAACGCATCCAGGTGGGTTTTGAAAGTCTCCAGAGCAGGAGACTCCACAACCTCTCTGGGCACCTGTGGTATAATGCAAGAGACCTCAGCTGTTATCAACAGATCCCACGATTTTTTCCTATCCAGCTCAAAAGAGGCGGTGGTGTTTCACATGCAGTTGTGTAGAAAGCACTGGTAAAAATGGTGTTTGGTAACAGGCACTGTATTTTGGTACAAAAATTCCCACTCCTCCCTTACCACCATTTGTCCCAGGGATGAGCCTGACATGGGACAGCGTGGTTTGGAGCTGAGATGTGCTACTGCCCGTTGTGATTTCCACCGCTGTCCTTAGCGTTGCATCTCAGGGCTGTGGGGAGGAGAGGAGCTCCTGGCAGCCGCTGTGCCCACAGGGTGGCTCCCAGAACAGAGCTGCACATCCCCTGCAGGAATGTTGGACAGGCTGCACTAAGCCTTTTCTGGACGGGTTGCAATCTTTTGCTGACCACGTTTAGCCTTTGTAACAAGTCACGGCAAGTAAGCAATAAACACAGCAATCCTAGGATTTTTCCTAAGTTGCTTTCATAAGAGAAAATGAGATGCACAATTGCTGCTTCAACTATTTAACAAGAGAAATACATTTGATCTTCAGGAGAATTAATTACATTTTTGGCAGATGTCTTTCTAGAGCCTTTAAATGGTACAATATGTTTTGGAGGGGAAGGGGCAGAGCAGACCACTTTTTTTTTTTTTCCAGGCAGTCATTTTCCTACAATAAATTTCAGTGCATACTTTCAGTTATCTCAGACTGCATTTTGGGATCTGGTTTCATTTACTGAGCCTGGCTAGTTTTATGTGCAGCCACTGAGCACTGCCAGTATGAGCTCCTGCTGCCCATTCATTAGGGGCATGAAGTTCCACTGCTTTTTAAATCCACCAAAATGACCATTTGTCTTCAAATTCTGTCAACAGAGGAATGAGAGACAAACACCACGGGAAAATATTTCCCACTGCTCCGGTTCCCATTTGGAAATGGAGAAAGGCATTTTGCTGATAGCAGAGCTAGTAAAGTGAGAGAAGGATAGTGCTGCTGCATTTCAGGCAATCTTGGTGCAGATTTCCGAAATCACTTCACCTCTGTCCCATGTCATGTGTAGTGCAGCAGGAGCACACGGAATAGTTTAGTGAGGTAAGTGAATGTGCAGTGAAGATCAATCTGAGACCAGCAGCTTCCTTTTCAAGAAAAAATGGTGATGTTACAGGAAGGGAAATTACTGGGACTCCAGAGCTGGGAGTTTCCATTCTCTGCCATGCTCTGTACGTGAGATGTGACCTGTGTACCTGGTTTCTCAGTATGTAAAAATAGGCACAAGATATTTACAGTCTGTTCTGAGACTTTGCTGGTATTTGCAAGTTGGGGCAGAGGAAATACTGAGATATGCTCCTTCACTTGTAATCTAAAACTGCCTCCCTGGTGGTGGTGCTTTAATGTCTGCATTGGTCTCGCTGCCCTTTTCTTTTCTTAATGGGAAACTTCTGCTTTTTCCTAGAGGCATGTTTAAGCCCTGTGTAGCAGAAAATACTTTCTAAAGGCAAGTGCCTTAGCAATGGGTTGAATACTAGATTTTTCAACAGGTCTCTCACACAACAAATTCTTAAAAAACTAAAGGAAGGCCTGGAATAACTTCATTTCTTTTTAGATACCTAACTAAGGTGATCAGGTTAGTAGTTCAGATGTTGTACTGTCCTTTCTTGTCAAGAAGGAGAAGTAAGATTCTCCAAAGGTCACATTTTCAGCCATTAGAAGTCAGTGATTCGATGCAAGGCTAGATATTTGCAGACAAAAGGGGTGAATCTAGATCCAAATGTCCTGGTAGAATATCATCCTGGCCGGCAAAGAAACCTTCCTTTCATTAGAAGCTGCATTTCTCCATTTAGTGATCAGTCACTTGAAAGATACAAATTGCCACTGATTCCAAAGTCTTCTGCTTTCAGAGGAGTACTTCTTCTAAATAGGTGTGCTTCAAAGAACCTGATTGTCTTGATATAAAAACAGTGTGACATGCAGCTTGACTGATAGAATAAAATTATAGGTTTAGTTCTTGGACAGATAATTCAGTCTTATAATGTGGGGAGTATTTTTCCCAGAGTGCAGGATCAGAAGCAAAATGAAAACAAAAAGTAGACTTCATACTCTTTAATATTCATAAATGATTTTTAGCTCTTGCTTAGATTTTTGAATGTCATACATATTTAACATACAATGTGTCAGTATATCATCGTTCTTAAGTTCATTCATTTGCATACGGAACATGCACTTTATTTAATAAAACATATACTACTTGCACAGCAGAAAGGAAGAGAAAGCACTTTCCCAGATGAATAGACATCACACCAATACCTACCGCACCATCCGACTCACGCAGCCACCGTCTGCACGTTGCTGCTACACGACACAGTGGGTGGGCTCAGACATGGGGGAGCAGTGAATTCCCGCCAGGAGAGCTCTCTATGTGAACGTTCAGTGCCAGCCCTGAGGCCACCAAGAAGGATGGTCAAGGTGGGAGACACTTCTTCAAGTAATCACAGTTTAGGCTCTTCACAGCTTTAACAACCTGAAGAGCCCCTGCGTGCTCACTGGGGAAGTTGAGAAGAGGTCTAACAACTTGTAGTTGCGATTGACTTGAGACAACACGAGAAGGTCAGGTTTCCACCATCTCCCTGGCCTACAGGGAACAGCGATGACAAATTCTGAATGTGTCCTGGCACCTGGAAGTGAAAAAGGGGGGTTTAGGCCTCTAAAAGCAGCAGCACCTAGGAATAACCTCCCTAGGGATGTGGTAGAGTCCTCATCACTGGAGGTTTTCAAGATCCTGTTGGACAGGGTGCTGGGTAATATCATCTAGGCTTCCTTTCCCATGAAAGGTTGGACCAGATGATCTTTAAAGGTCTCTTTTAACCTTCTATGGTTCTATGTACTAGGTCCTCACTCAGGAAGACATCAGTATTCCTGCTCTCTGGCCTAAAGTTCATTGAAAGATTCATATCCAACAGGCCATAAACTAGTTGATGGGAGGGAGATGTAAGGAGTACAAGTGATCTCCATGATGAGGATGGCAAAATATAAGTGTTTTCACAGCTTTCTTAGCAGCTTCACTTGAGTGGTGAGTAGGAGAATTGTCCTGTAGCTGGACACCCCCATCCTTGAAACATGCTCTGAAGAATTGTTCAGGAGGTCCAACCAGGAGCTGGCTAATTCTCAGGGGCTATGTGAGCACAAGCAATGGTGAGAGGTCCATGTCCATCAAGAGGAAGAGACCCAACAAGGCATGTGCCACCTTAGTACTGTGATCTGAAGGGAACACCACCCACAAGCTGCCTTTGTTTTACAGGAGCAACACAATAGTTACCACACTGACAAGATCGAGGTTTCTTGACTGGAGTCTTGCTCCTTCCAGAGATACTTTAACAATTTCCATGAAAAAGGCACTTAAACCTGCCTTCTTGACTTAATAAGCCCATAGGGCAAAGGTCCAACCCACAGGAAGTAACATTTCGGAGGTTGCGAAATATGATGGTAAAACTCCGAAAGTGAATTGGTCACAAATATTTCTTTCCTGGCTTTTTGTAATCTCAGCAGTTGAGTGGGAATGTTTTGAGTTTAAGTTCCAGTTTTGTAAACGGAAAAGCCCTCAGTGCTTTGTGGAAGAGTTGAGTTAAACTGAACTCAGCCTGGCCTGGCTTCATTACCTGGCTGCTTCTTGTGCTGGAAGAGTGGAGAGATATGTTTATCTTCGCACTGCTTTTAGATTAGGGTTTTGCATCTCCGTGCAGCATTTTTGCCTTCCTGCCTGACAGCTGCCATGCCTTGCTCTACTAAATCACGAGCCCATTTTCTTTTTTCCTGTAAATCAACTTGAGTTACATTGAAAGACACTATACAAAACCAAATTGATTTGAAATGGCTCTTAAGACAGTCTCCATATGCCATTATAGTTTATATTTGGACTCAGCTGTGTACTAAAAATGTTATCAAATAGGATATATAATGTGTATTGTTATCCCCATTAATATACCTCACAGAATATGAAGAACGGGAACAGCATTAGTTTTCTTATCTAAATTCCTGTTCAGTCTCTCTTCCTCCAGGAAACGCACAGAATAAAGGTCATGTTGGCAATTTCTTTCTTTGCTACAAGAGGTTAGCTGGACACAGCAATAACCTCCCTACTCCTGTCTAAGGCTAGCAATGGGCATTTTGCTAAATGAAAATATGTCTTTGTTTTTGTGAACAATTATAGGATAAGGAAGGGAGGGAAAAGTCCTGTGAAGGGGAAATGAGCTGATCAGCAGTGCCTGACCTTCCACTTGTCTACTGGCTGAAATGTGCTCTTCTCTCAAATCCGTTCTTTATGGTGAAGAAAATATCTATGTAATACGAGTGAGGTGAAATTACAATGATATATGAGCCCTTTTGGTGGGATCGAGGCTACTGCTCACAAACGCGCTCTCTCAGCTCTGTTCATTGTCAAAGAGTAGTTTTATTTTTGCACACCGTTGCTTTAATCTTGATGACAAGGATCTTTGCCTTCGGTTGCTCTCTCCTTGAGATTT